GCTTGCTGGTGTCTTTGGTACAGCAGCAACTGGTTTCATACTCCAGCGAGGTCTAAGAGTTCCCCACTTTCATTTTGGAGTCTACTTTTTTTTTTTTTTGTAACTTTTTCATAGTTTTCAATTATGTGACCTTTTGTTGCAGGTTCTTGGAATGATGTTTTTAAGGTTGCTGTTGCATTGTACATAATTGGCACATTGGTCTGGAATATCTTTTCGACTGGGGAGAAAATTCTTGATTAAAGATGACATGTCAAGAAAGGTGTAGCCTATATCATAGCCATGGAAATATAGAAACAGATGGAACACTAATCAGATGACCAAACATGTCTTGGAAGATTAAACCCCTCAAAAAGTAAGAAAAAAAAAAAAAGATACACCATGGAAGTTTTCACCTTAAACCATGGCCTATAAAAAAAATGTCTCCAAGAAATCTTGGATTAATTTTGTACCTTTTCCACAGCAATACTACTCTAAAGTGAGTTTGTCTCTAAGATGAGCAAGTAAAAGTGTATCTACCCTTAAGATTTTAGTAAGTTAAGCTTACAATACACTTTAAATTAAGTTAATGTTAGATACATTTTTTCTTGCTTACTTTATAGTCAAACTCGCTTTACTTGGCCCTTGTTCCATGAACTTAATTAAGTGCTTTCTGTAGAGAAAGTAAGTGGGCAATTTCCTCCTGTAAAACTTTATATAAGCATGCACAAGTTCACAGCATACATGTTATTTGAATAAACTACCTCATGTGAAGCCTAGATGTAAATTAGAATATTAGATTATTCATCTTTTTCTTTAAACATGTAATACACATAAATTATTGTCAATATACTATATATTATAAATTATATATGCAGTAATTAGAAGTCATAATATAGAATTTTAAATATATTATACCCAACTAGTAAAAAAAGGTACTTCTGTCTTGTTAATGATTTGGGAAGGATAAGTTACAAAGTAATTATCTTAATGTTTTAGGATGAGAAAATTACAAAGTTGAAAAATTATGAATTTTTTTTTATATATTATTATAAATATTACTATTTTCACGATCAAATGATTAAATTTTACAATATATTAATATTTTTTTATTTAATTTTCCTTACTATTGTTATTACGATATATATTTAAAAGGATTTAATTATTTTATTTGCCTCAAATTAGAGGCACTTTTTACTTTAGCTTTTTTTTATATATAAAATAGGTCAGGCATGTTTCACTAATTTTTTTTTTTGAAAGAATGTGAAGAGAATTCTCGTTTAAGTTCTTTAATTAATCAAAATTCACATGTTGCATTTTGCACGAATATATATATATATAGATAGATAGATAGAGAGAGATGATGCATTTAGTAGAGGGAAAACATGAATCTTGATAATCATGATTTATAAGAATGAATAAAATTTATTTTCTTAAAAATATTTATATATTTTTTCCAAAAATATTAATTATTTATCAAAATAAATGTGTTAATGAGAAAAATATGATATTTTTATTACAATAAAACTATTCTATTAATTTGGGAAAGTCGTACCTCCACGGAACCAATTTTGTGAAAAACATAAGAAAAATATGTTATCTGAAAACATTACTTAATAAACAATATTAGATAATATTATTTTTTAAATAATAAACTAAACATTGTCACTCTTATATTCATCGAAAACTAAAAATTAACGCCTCTTTAGAGTAAAACTTGGATCTCCTAATTAACATTTATACGAAGACAACTCATGAAAAAGAAGCTTAGTTGGCTATATAAAACTAAAGTATAAAGTGAGTATACATATCAATGTCATAACACCCACTTCAACTTTTATATATTATAAATATATAAATAGAATTTGAAACGAAAGCTTGTTCTTTTGCCACGTAAATGTTTTGCTTATTTTCTGAATTATTGTATATTGTCGATGACTATGTCCTTTTTATTTGCATGCAAATTAGTTCTCTTTATGGATCAACTTTTTTTCTTTTTTATTTATAATTTTGAAGAAATAAAACCTTAAAAGAAACACGTCTCTCTAAGTGGAGAGCCACGTCCTTTCATGAAATAATATTGGCATCTTTTAATTAATAGATACAAATTTTCCAAAATAACATAATTTTTTATTTAAAGGATGCAACCTTTCATATTTACGTATTTTCATGAATAGATATGTACTTTTACGAAAGAATACACTTTTTTATTCATTTTAAAAATATCTCACAAAAGCATGTATATATTTAGTTAGCAATGCCGTAAAAGAATTATGACAAGATACTTAACACTAAAAAATGATTATAATCGGATCATAATTTTATATGATATTACTGATCTTAATGTTTTTATCAAACAATATAACCTTCATATTTGCACCTTTTTATTAATAGACATTTTCTCCATAAAGGAACATACTTTTTTATATTAAAAACAAAAAAAAAAAAGAGGATGTGAGACCTTTCATACTTGTTTTAAAAATATTTGCACAATTTCATAGATACATATTTTTACGAAATAATACAATATTCTTTATTCATTTATAAAAAAAAAAACTCACAATATATATTTTACTTAGCAATACCGTAAAAAGAATTATTGCAAGATACTTAAAACTACAAAATTCTAATTAGATAATAATTTTATTTAATATTATTGATCATAATCTGTTGAACATTTTGCTATTAGATAAAAGTACATTAAAAATTGACTCGAAGGTTATGAACGTAAATGAAAACTACCACTTGTTAAATCTAGCTATAACTAGATTTATATGCCACAATAGTTTAATTAGATAAGCATTATATATTTCA